CCAGGTTCCGTTTGGGCCTTATGCTCAGTCTGGAGCTGCTCATTGAAGTTTCTCTTCGTTCTGTTGCTTTTTTTGGATTTACTGGGCATTTCGTCCTTATGAAAAGGCATTTTCGCGGTGCACACCCCAAATTCGAGTCCCAGGGTCAAGGTCCCCAATTCAAAGAGGCCGAGCAGGCCGAAACAGAGAAAGTGTCAAGTCGGGTATCCCAAGGGCCGCAAAAGTCAAAATTCAAACGGTACCTGACCTCAAAGTCCAGTCGCACAGTCAAATGCAGCGGCGCTCCAAGGAAAAGCCTGGATGGTACCGGGCCTTAACATTCCAAAGGCAAACAGGCCGCGGGTGACCGGTACCAGTCAAAGTCAGACCCATGCCAAGTCAAGCAGAGGCTGAGTGAAGTACAGGCCCAGTGCAAGTCAATAAGAAGCCTGGCCCAGCCTCATTCAAACAGATTGCTCATTCGCAAGAAGGTGGAAGCGCTGCTAGTGCTTGTGCGTTATTATGAGTGACTGTGCACTCTGCTGGTGCTTGTGCGTTATCGCGAGTGACTTTACGCTAAGGAGCCCTGTTGGGCAGTGCTGCGCTGTGGAAGATAGGCGGCCATAGCCGCTCAGTAGTAGCAGAGTATGTGTAGGAAGCGGATGTATCCAGCGTTGTGATCCTCACAGTAGCAGAGACAGACAGAGAGACACAGAGAGAGAGAGAGAGAGAGAGAGAGAGAGAGAGAGAGAGAGAGAGAGAGAGAGAGAGAGAGAGAGAGAGAGAGAGAGAGAGAGAGAGAGAGAGAGAGAGAGAGAGAGAGAGAGAGAGAGAGGCAGCAAGGTTGTGCGACATAAGCCAAGAGAGAGGCAGAGTTACATACTTGATTGAGGTTGCTGGGCGCTGAGCTGATGGGCGCTTGGTGCCTCAAACTCAGAACCTGTATAATATGACGTTGAGCGCTTGGTGACTCGAACTCTGGCTTTGTATAATACGATCATTCTTTGAAGTTTATGAGCTGCGCTAATCTGGTATAATATGATCATTGATTGAAGTTTATGAGCTGCGCTAATCTGGTCTCTCCATCTCCGGACTTCGGTGTGGATTTTGTGTGAACTCTCATGGCGCATATGCTTAGAGTGACAATATAAGTGGTTCATTGCACTTATCTGCGAAGTTTGTTTGCCAGCGGAATTGTATGTCGTACGCCCGGCTGTCCTCACGTATGCTACCCCTTCTATTCTGGTTTTGAGGCTGTATTGCTTAGCAAAGAATTCTGACAATTCACTCTCCTTCTGCAGGGCCTCAGATCTGTTTTCGGTCTTGCCTGTTGCACTTTTCTGCTATACCTATGGTGGGCCAAGTTGCGATATCATGACCAAATAGCAGCTCCTTGATCCTCACACGATGCTACAGCCAATGGCGAAGAGCTTCACATATCTGAAACGCAAGAGGAGCCAGCACGTCGCCACCTCCAGAATTGATTTACTTTCTAATATTGGAAAGCCTCGTAGGGGCAGTGCAAGCTACCAGCATCAGCCAGCTCCCTTATTTCCCCGGAGTGGATCATAAATTTATAAACCCTCAATCTGGTCTTGGAAGCTGGGACGAGACGAGGGCCAGGGTTGTTTGAAAAAATAACTCCCTGCGCGAAACACAGATCATGAAAGAAGCGGTCTTGGAAGCCTGTGCAGCGCACGGAAAGAACCAGGAGCTTCACTCAACTCATGAGTGGCCTCTCCGACGCCACATCCAAAGCGCCCCAAATATTAGCAGCACAACGCAGGGCCAAAGAACAAGAAGAACCTCATTGCGCACCCAGGGGTGCAGCGCTATGAGGACGACCTGTTCGGGGTGAGACACAGGTTAGCAGAATGGCATAAATGGAGAGCTGAAAAGCATAGCAGGTACGCCGCGTTTCAGTATTGGAGAAGAGTAGGATAAACAACAGCAAAATGAAAGGAATGTTTTGTTGCCAAGGGCAGAATGTAGATAGGGAGGGGGTCTGGCTCATATCATTGGATGGGCTCAACTGGCAGTCAATCCTTCCGAAGGAAGGAATCACTGCTGCCAGGGTTCTCTGGGCCGTAACGTCAGGAAGCGTTAAGGGTTATATGCTTCAAAGGGACGCCGGTCCCATTTCCCAGCAGGTGAGGCTCCCCATCAATAGAAAGGAGCTTTCCTTTTTTTTATTAAAAAAAAGAAGAAGATGGGGGCTGGTCAGACCCACTTGGCCTACGCGCTCCAGGTACACAGGGAAGTAGTGGACTTATGTCTACTTAGCAGCTCAGCGATAGGCCATGTCCGCAGGGACACAGTATGGACCATGGAAGTGGCACTACGGAAAAAGATGCAGTTGAGGTGCCGGCTGCCGAAAACCGCGGATGTTGTCTTTAGCCAGCTGCTGTTTGACAATAAGTTTATCTGCGATGCAACTGGGGAACCCTTCAGCCAGCTGCTGTTTGACAATAAGTTTATCTGCGATGCAACTGGGGAACCCTTCCCTTGGTAGGGACCACGAGGAGCCTATCGATGGAAGTTGGCCGAACAAGGAATGTACAAGGTGGGCCATTTATGGGATGAAGAGCGGAAAGATTCGTGAACGGACAATGAAATGGAGGCGGCCTTGCACGGACAAACGAGGAGGAGGCAAAGGGTGGGAGAACTGAGGGAGGTCATACCCCCTCAATGGATTGAGCTGCTGAAGGAGGACGCAATAACATTGGGAGAGTGGGTGAGGATTAAGGTAAGTGTTGAGGCCAGATAGGGTGTTTAGGGTGGAACAGGTCCTACGTGATAACAGGCTAGAAGTCACCGAATGGCAAACAAGACCGGGATTGGGATACGAGGGACTGGGGGGAACCACTGCAGGAGACAAGGGCACAGGGGAGAGGTGCCATGAAAAGGATAGCAAGAAACATGGTGGAAACAGTGGCGGTATGTGGAGGAGGAAAGAAGGGAGAAGATCAGTACCTGTCGTATCAGCTGGCATCCAGGCTGCAGGATCTGACGTGGGACCCGAGGGAGTGAGAATACATAATAAGGACATGCCGCTTCAAGAAAGTGACTACAAAGAACATCTACAATTTGCTGCTGGATCCAATGGACATGTGAGGGGAGCTGAAGAGTCGGTGGGCCAAGAGGGACTGGCCCCTGGATGTACACTTCAACAGGTGGACGCTGCAGAGGTGGAATGAGCAACGTGCTATCTTGACAGCCCTGACAGATCAGAAGCAGGCAGGCCTGCTGTGGCAAATATGCCACCTGGCCATCCTGACAGCACAATGGCAAGCTGCCAAAAGCCAACATAGGGATCAGACATGGGCTGTAGGGTGCGGCAAGGTGGAAATTGTTCCTCATGTTTTTGTGCGATGCCCAGAAAGCCGGGCGTTCTGGGTATGGTGGGCGCAAGAAGTCGCAGACAAATCACCATTGGATGTCGCCGAGATAGAAGACGCACCTATTCTCCTGGGAACAGGTCAATAGGCCGAAATTTGAGGACCGAAACAGCGGAGATCATTAGAGCAGCTGTGCTATGGGCCCTGTGGACCTTGAGAAATGACCGGTGTAGCTAAGGAGTGACCCCGCCATCGCAGGCATATCAGGAAAGAGTGTTGGAGAACATGCGGATAGCCCTGTTGGCCGACTTCCATCGCTGCAGATATGCAGGGGAAGAAAAGGAGAATGGGTTTTGGGAATAGAGGTAGGACGAGAAGGAAGGAGGGTGATCAACCTCTAGGCAGGGTGTGGAGAACGAATATGTGGGGAACCTTTTGGGTTTGGGATGCTCGAAACACTTCCGTATTAATACTGCTATTTATCTATTTAGGTGCACTACGTTATCTATTCTTTTCTGCAGATGTAGCTTCTGCAACGAAGTTGCCTCTACCAAGAAAATTTGGGAAAGCCTTCAACTTTTTTGTCTGTGTGCCGGTACGAAGTGTGGCGTCAGAGTTTCCTTAGTACATAGGTAGGACGAGGAAGAAGGAAATGGGAACCAGGAAGGAGACTCACCTTTGGCTATGGTGGACATCTCCAAGGTCCGCACGTCATCTGGAAGGCCCCTGAAGGGGGTTGCATGTCCTTTGAACATCCGGACTAGGCTAGGACTGAGCCGCCATAGCTGGGTGGTACACAAAGGAGAGAGAGGGGTGTAAGAGGCCGAAGAGGGCTGTTTATGTGCTGGCAGAAAGGGGAAGTAATCGAACATTGATTCTGGCTTTTTCATTTCATGGTTGTTTATTATTATTGATAATAAGATGATGGCAGAGATGATGAGGGGCAGACGATGGAGGAGAGATGAGGAAGAGAAGACATTAGTTCCAAATTGAGTTCAATTTTTTTCTTCTTCTCCTATTCTTCATTCTTCTCCCCCCCTTGTCTTATTCGTATTCCAAACTGTTCCCTTTTAGAGTTGCAATTGAATCACATTGTCTCTTTGGGAGCTTTTGCGTTGAGAGCTGACAAGGAACAAAGCAATACCATGAGCGTCGGCGAGACTATGGCGTTCACCGCACTGAGAGTCTTACAGAGGAAGCTGCAGCAGTGCAAAATATAGTAGAGGAAACTCCGACTGTGGAAACTGCTGCAGTGAAAACTACAGCAATGGAAACTGCAGCAGAGGCAGTTGAGCAAGCAGGGGCAGAAGGAGAGCTTTGTGAGAGAAAAGAAGAAAGTGGATGACGTAGGGACCATTGATTTTTTTATACGTATTAAATAGTCCAATCAGGGTTGTACAGTCCCATGCATCCGGTTTCTTTTCCCCCGGCATGCCACTTTATCATACATCAGAAAACCCTTGCTTCCTTCCATTCAGTCCGAAGGACCCCCTGAAATGCATTGGTCGCTTCCTCTTGGGAGGATCGACTATCAGGTATGTCTTATTCCTCAAATTTCTCGCAGTCTATGCTTTGCGAGGACAGAAAATCATGACAAGGCACTTCATTTTCATGACAGAGTGGTGACATGATCCACCTTGTTAGTGGAGATTCACAAGTTCAATTCGCAGCATGCATACTCACCATCTCCCAAGCTTCTTGATAGGACAACGTACTAAGAACCACTGCTTCACTAACTGTGACACATAGGCACACACATTGACAAAATAAATCAATGAGCATTAATATACACCAACCCTCGAGCAAACAATCATGTCGCACACATCAGGAACAAAGGAAGCAGTAAAACATAACATCAAGCAGGAAACCACTACCACAGTACCACTCTAATTGGTCTAGTGTTTGCTAGCTTCTTGACATGACGAGTGCAATGACTAGTTTTTGTGTGTTGCTGGTTTGAACAGGATGGGAGGTCACAGGATTAGTCCGGGAGGTTGTAGTTCCATGACGAGACCCAACTTGACCCAAAGTGTCCAACATCCATCTCACAACAGGAGTTCAGAAGCAGGACCCCAGAAAAGAATACATGGTGAAACTTCCTTCCCTAACCGGCAATCGCCTCATGGATAGCTCAAAAAGTGTTTTGCACTGTCATGCTTGACATGCGGAATGAAACAAATGGCAACCACATGGGGATCACCGTCGGTGACCATTGGAACATCACCAAGTGTGGTTCCTACTCACCTGAAATGGATGTTGTGCGATTTTCACTCATCTTGAGTGGATATAGTGTGGTTCCTACTCACCTGAAATGGATATGTAGTGTCATTTTACTGACCTCAAATGGATCTAGTCACTCATGTGGTTTTTACTCGACGAAAAATTGGACATAGTCTACTGGTGAGGAACAGGAGAACATTGGCAAGCAGCGAATGGCTGAGGGCTGGGAAGTGCTACAGAGCAAAGGAGGAACAGCTAGTCCAGGCACAAGACAAAGACAAACTGCATCTAGAAAGGTGATCCCATTTGTGGGGATGCCATACATTATGTGTCGAGCAGGTGGCAACAGGCAACATACATTAAGCAGGTGGCAGCAGGCAATATTCATGGACAGTAAGTCATGCCTGAATTCATGCTCGATGTCAATGCCACTCCTAGGCATTAGAATCCCTGCAGAGGGCCCCCTTTATTTCTCTTTTTTTTTCAGATTTCCTGAGAGGGTCCTTGCATCAAGGACCTAAACCTTCAGGAACAAACTAGCCAGTCAACTGGATGTCAGTTAGAGAGCAGCTCTCAGCAGTCAGAATCCAGAAGACTGTGGCCATGAGGTGAACATCCTGGCAAATGATACAGAGGCTTGAATCAGCAGGATGGCAAGATAATCCGAATTGCAAACAATCGGTATTGCAAATGCACACAAGCACAGGGAGAGAACACATGCTGAGTCAGCCAACATATTAGGAAGAGTGCCATGGTTTGAATGGCAGGCACTCACCTTTCCTTGGATCTGCACTATAGACTCCATCAACATCTGTCCAAATCGTGATGCTTTTAGCAAGCAAAAGAGCACCCATAATGGCAGCAGAGAAATCACTGCCATCCCTTTTCAGAGTGGTTGGTACACCCTCCGGAGTGCTGGCAATGAACCCAGTGATGACCAAAATGTCTGGGATCGCTTGCTGCTGCTGGTACCATTCATCCAATCGTTCACCCGATAATTCATAATCTGGATCCACTTGCTGAGTGCTTGTCGGTGAGACCACGAGAACCTCTCTAGCATCCATCCACACCGCTGATACTCCTTCCTGCACAGCAAAGCCGAGTTGTTTCAGATCGCAGAAGTGTGATTAGTACAATAGCAAACACCACCAGCAAAAGAACAGAGGTGTAACAGACTGAACACATGTTACACTATTGTCCTTCCCAAAATAGAACGTAGTGTCATTATTGCTGTATGTGAGCCAACTTGCAGTCGAGATACAACGATAATGGTTGTACGTTTTATTCAGGTGAAGAGGGTACCCCATAGGATCACGATTCGCATCCAGGAAAAGTGGGCAAAGACTTTCCACACAATTTAATAGGTTGTGGGACTTCGTGGTGGAGAAAAACGAACAGCAACTGTAAGAAACCACATCCTCGGATCCCCAGCTACTCATCAGGAGCAGCCAAAGACGTCAACCGTGTGCAGGATTGCAATAACCTGCAGATTCCCAGCGGGATGTATAACTAAGAAGATTAGTTTTGTAATATTTTGGGTGCTACTGGACTTGATCCCCTGACCTGTTCCTTAATGGGACTTCCTTCTATGTAGTTTAGTTTTGTAGTTTTGGCTTGAGGTCTGCGAGGCTCTGTCACTTGCTGGGGTCTCTCTTCTAGGCAGCCTTAGACCACTAGGCCATTTCTTTTCGTCCTTTCTGCTGTTTTTGTGTAGGCCTGTAGGCTGTATGTTACATACTTCAATGAGTATGAGCAGAACCAAAGATCAACCAATGTAGGATGAGCATGTATGCAGCGGAAGTCTGATAAACGGACTGACTCACATAGACTGACTCACATAGACTGACTCAAGAATCACTCCACACACATACAATCGTGAGATGGTGGGGTCTGGGCCAAGCATGGACGATGCCCAGATCCCATACACTCATACACAGATGAAAGGTGGGAGGAGAGACGAAGGAGGTGGGGGAGGTAGACAGCACCGGTAGGTCACCGAAATAGAATCCGATAGGTCACCGATATGGTAATCCAAAATGTCATCCAACAAGATCAAAATGTCGAGGACAATCAGTCACCAATGTCGGAGATACAGAGTCCAAATGCAACCGGTGTCCGAACTGTGATGCCGCAAAGTATCTACCCCAACAATCTCCAAGTCTCCAGTCCGGTAAGTTCCACAGTCTCATACCACCGAAGCCCAACACTGAACTCTGTCCAACTAGTATAAGTCTCCAATCTGAAGAAGAGGAAGAAGAAGAAGAAGAAGAAGAAGGTGGAGTCTGAAGAGAAGAAGAAGAAAAAGAAGAAGAAGAAGAAGAAGGAGGAGCCGAGGAGGAGAGAGAGAGAGAGAGGGGGCTGACGATGGGAGGGAGGAGAGAACCTCCGGCTCCCTGATACCTCAGGCGGCGATGGCCGCCGGTCTGGCTCAGTCGCCCTGCTGCTGTTCCGCTCGCCGCTGCTGCGCTCATGCTGCGCTGCGCTGCTCCTCGCTGCTCCTGCGCTAAAGATAGCGCCATCGCTAATGTGCGCTGTACCATACCGTACCGGTAGAGTGCCGGTAGGTCGATCCTTCGACTGAGGCTGGACCGGTTCCTTATACCGGTGGGGCAGAGGCCGGCCTCAATGCTGCGAGGCCTGGCCGTGCCCTGAACCGTCCAGATGGACGGTTCAGCCCCAACCGGCGGGCGGCAGCCTCAAGAACGCCGCCAGACCCAAACGGTAATGTCGTTTGGGCCTGCCCGTCGGGTCTGGTCCAAGGTGAGGCCTTTACGGCCTGTAGTACCCCCAAGGTCGGGCCTTTGGCCCTACTGTGTCCTTCTACCCCTATGTCGGGTCCGGTAGGACCCGTGTCGGCAGCCTGTGGCAGAAGGAGATCAGCGAAGATCCGTGCTTTCTCTCCACCATGATGTAGCTCGAATGGTGTGACGCAGATCGCCGGGTGC